GTCCGCTTTCAAGCACTAACATCTTGAAACCAAGACTACTGCCATGGCAACCCTTCTACACGTAATGGTTTCCAGTGATGTCGCAACAGTGGAAATCCCCACCTGAAACAATGCAATGGTATGGAACGCCAAAGAGGCAAAACTCCAAGACGATACATCGATCGGTATCATATCTTTTATAGCGGTCTTTTACATCGATCGACCGGTGTTTTACATCGATAGACTGGTCTTTCACATCAATCAATCGGTCTTTGTTGTCGATAAGCCATGGCTGAGCCAACAACTTGTCTCAACGGTCGACTTGTTTTCCAATTTGACTCATCACAGACGTCTACAAACGCTCAAGATGGCAAACGGTCGGTCAAGTTGGCTAGACCCCCGTCAAGGAGGAAATAATAAATATATATGTGGGTACTGCAAATTTCATTTTTGGTGGACTCATTCTTTTATCGATGTCTTACAACAATAAATTCCTTCTTTCTGAGTTCTAATTCTCCGAGAGTTATAACCATCTTATCAGACCTGAACTATTTTATTAAAAAAATTATGTTAAAATTCTAATGTCAGTGTCTAATGTCAGTTGCAAATTCTTCAAATTGTATCAGAAAAGCAAAACAATTGGGACAATAATGCCGACGTAAATATTCGCTAATTGCCCCCGGGTGCCGAGGGTAAAAGTCCGATCGGAACAGGTCTATTGTAATGGACGCAAACAGCTTTTTTTTTTATTGCAAAAGCCCTTATTTTGACCCCCCCTAAAAAGTGGGAATTTTCGCAGTTAAAATATGCCTTTAAACACTTTAAACACCTTTGGTCATTTCGAAATTGACATCGTGCACATTACCAACACACTTGAACTCCAGATCCTGCAAACACTGTCTGCATATGCCTGTACTAACATTGCTAAATAATGGTACAGATCTGTGGGGGTCCATCGCATCAACTGTGACATTTCAGTGTTTCTTAAATTTTCTTTTGTACCGCTCTTTGTTCATGCACAAGCATAAAGATATGGTCATGATGTAAAAACCTGTCATAAATGAAAATCGGTAGTCGACAGAAATCAGACTAAAATACAGCTTTCTTTCAAACGCACATCACTTAAAATGTATGGGTGTGGTAACTTTTTACAAAGACACTGAATTAATAATAATTTTATATTTTCAAAACTTTGTTTTAGAATATTTTCTTTTAACCTCTTGAATTTAACGTAACCGCTAAGAACACCATGCTTGATTTTTAGGAGGAAAAATGTTTGGCAAATTGTACTTTCACTCTAAAAGTGTGGTAAGCGATCAAACGCAATCTAACTATCACAATGTCATGTCCAATTCTATCGGCGTTCAATTGTAAACACTATCCATCAAAATTGAAGTTTGGAAACTGATAGCAAGAAGTGTTTTCAAAGTGTTCTATAGCTAAACAAATAGCTTTTGCTGTGCTCCCAGAGAATGACGGTACTGTCGTTTCATAACGTACAACAAATGCGATGTAATTCTGTACTCATTGCTTTTCATAACACACGGTAGTTTCTCACTCTTAAAACAGACCTGCGGCAGTTAATTAAAAAAATGCCAAACTGTATTAAGGATTTTCCAGGATTACATAGAGTGTTAACCTTTTCCAGTGTTTGAAAAGTTCATTTCACCCATAAAACTGGGCACATATAACCTACAAAATGTTGGAGCTTTATAATTTCCCTATACACCCTTTGTAACGGCAATTTAATGTTTTGATGCTGACATGGGTAACATTAATGGAAATGTTGTAACATTAATGTCAATGACCATTCAATTTCTTCCAAAATGCCAGTTCCTTATTTCTTGAATATGTATCCCATCTCTCCGAATTCAGTAGTTTACAAAAAATATAGCATTCTTCCTGGAATTACTTGCATATTTGGTTTGATAAATGGACATGATGTAACATTAACATTAATGTGAATATGGCAGCATTAATATCAAGCTGCAATATATTACGGAACATCCTACGTGACTGCTCACTTTCAGAATGCCTTTTTATGTTTTATTTCTTAAGAATCGCATTTCTTCAGAAAGTGACCACCCCAAGCCCTCCAACTTCAGTGGTTTAAACATTAAAATAGTTGATCTCGAAATGAACAATTTCTGTGCTTTTTGTTGTAATTTGTTCAGAAATATAATTTAGGGCCTATGTATCCACAACAAACATTCAGGAATGTTAACAGCGCTGGCTCATTGTACAGCCGTGCATGTCTAGGCGCATACACCGACGGCTGTATGCACGATCGTAACATAAATGGAAAACAGCCTGATTCCCCTTACCTTTGCTGTTATAGTGTCAGCAGAATGCCGCCAAAATCCTCAAAAACTGGGCCCAGGGTTATTGCTGTTCCTCAAAAGCTCAGATCAGACGAGGACTGGCGCGAAGCAATTCAATTTGCCGCCTTTTCAGATATGTATTCCAAGGTTATTGGTCAAAGTACATGTACATCAAGAGGTTATCGCGTTACACGTTAACAAGCCACGCACATAAAAACAAACAGTCATACTCTGGGCTGTGAACCACACGTACACCGTGCCACAGTCTCGCGCTCTTATTCTGTCGCCATTATTGAAGTAAAATAAATAGTTACTAAATATTTTTAAATGGAAAACCCAAAGTTCGAAATGTCAGATCCACCCACTTCAACAAAATATCTGCAAACTTATTTCAGATATGGAGCACAGTTGTGCCGGCAGTGAATGAAACAACTCGAATTATCTGCTGCTTGTTTTAGCTATTGTAATGTCCACGATTGAAATATTCATGTCTGTGCAGATTAAGCTAAGTATGTTGTAAATGTTATCATGAGATCTGTGTGGATAAAACATATTTCAAAAGATATAGTAGGATTTGTAATGATTTGTTATGATAAGGAGTGTCTTTACATGCATGCAAAGAAAATAATGGAGTGATGCACAGCCTAGTTGGGGGCGGGGGGGGGGATCAGCTTCCCCGGTTGTGAGACGGTCCCAAATAATCCAGCTCTTTTAAGGTTGAAGGGCAAAACTTAAAGAGGGACCCCAAACCACTCCACTTCATTAACTTTTCAGATAGCTTATCTGAAAACTGTAACAACTAATGCCCAGTTCTGGCAATCTGTGAGGAGATTTAATTGCTCCAAATCAGAAAAGCACGAGGTAAACCGTGTGTTTACACTGTGATTGAGTCACATCAAACTTGGCAAGTTTCCTTTCGTGTATCTAAACGTGGCTAATATAAAGATGGATTGTTACATTCATTTATTTGAAAATCGTGTAAATAAAAGCTAATTCAAAACAAGACGATCTTACATTAACACTTAGCATCATTTTATTAAGCCTTGTGCGTTTTCAACATGTATATTTTTAACGCAAATTTTGTGTATACTTTTGATTGACCCTCTGAGAATCAAAGACAGATACGCCCCAACATGAACCCCAACCTCCTGTGTTCCCGTTAGTTGTCATAATGGTCGCAATCACTGTCCGTTTTTCATCGAGTCCGAATGGACCTTTTTGACATGCTCGTTTCGTCTGGAGATTTGGTGACGAATGAATCATTCATTTTATGCCCGAACTTATGTAACATGCCCATGATATATAATGGGGAATGACATTTTTTATCAGAAATGTTCTTAAGTATTAAATTAAAAGAGCAGTTGTCATTGTAGATTGTAAAATACACGGAATTGGTCATTGTGGGGGTAAATTAAATAAAAATCCTTAGTCTGATTTGCCAGACATCCACGATAAAGGCTCAAGACCAAACCCAGCGCTCCTGGAAAGGATTTTTGATATTTCCCTTTTTTTTTTTAAAGCAAACAATGAGGTTTCGCTACGTTTAAAATTGACAACTGAGAAGTGACAACACTTCTCCCGCTCTGCTATAAAATACACCAGCACCGTACATGAAGTTTTCTGTTAGCTTGATTAAACCTTTTACTTTTGGGCTATGTTTTGACTTTGATATTTTACGTTAGGCTTAAAATATAATCAAAGGTTTTGCCAAATCGAAAACTCGGCAGTTTAGAGAAATCAAACTAAAATACAGCAATGTTTCATACACATTGAGTTTTGTGGGCATAGGTATACCTTTTTCTTGCGAAGGTACTAAAATAGAGTAAAAACATCAATTTAAAAAATGTAATACTATTTTCTTGAAAAAAATCTTGTGTTTTATATAAACATTGTAGTTACTAATGCTTGATTTGTTTGGCAAATTTTAGCTCCACTTCAAACACTGTGTTTAGCAATCAAACACAGTCATTCTCTTTGTGTACATGTTTGAATGCTAAACATTTGGTGTCCAATTCTTAACCACCAATCCAATGGCTAAACGCTATTCCATAAAACTCTAAACACGTTTAGCATTGAACATGTTTACAGACTCATAGTACAAATGTGTTTGGAGAAGTGTTTAATAGATAAGACAATTTAATTTTGTTTCCAAAGAATAACTCACTGTACAAGTTCGGTCTTTCTTAATGTAACACTGAATTATTAGAATGTTCTGACGTGATACAATCCTGAAATGATTGCATTTTGCAAGCACACATTAACTGTTAGTTTGTCCCTCTTCAAAAAGAGCTGGAGCAGTATATTCTAATGTTAAACTGTATTAAAAATTTGTCAGGATTAGTCTTCCCGTTTTGCAATGTTTGAATGGCATTCAGTGTGTACCCATGATTAAAGAGCTGTGCCTAACTATCCTCACACGGGGTCAAAATGAATCGTTTAGAGATGTTCATAGAGTCTGCGTTTTTTCTGACAAGCTACTTTTTAAACCTATCTGTATAACAAATTCCAACTAGCCAATTTTGAACCAAGTAAAGTACGTGTATTTGGTAGCATTCACGATACATATCAAGGTACAAAACCGTATCAAACTTGATTATATACATGTCTTCCAAAAATGCCAGTTCCTTTATCATTTAAGAATACATAAAAATGTGCCACCCAAGTTCCCCAAATGCAATAGTTCACAATTACAAAAAGCTAGTTCAATATCTAAGTCTCCTTGAAACTACATAAATATCTATTAGTTTTTGAGTATTGTGTAAGATTAACATTATTGAAAAAAATGCAGTAGCATTAATTTCAAGCTGCAATATATTATGGAACATGCTATACTTCCAAAATGCCTTTTCCAGTATCATTTCGTAACAGAATAAGTGGAACTAAAAATGAACCACCCAAGCCCTCAAACTTCGGTGGCTTAAACATTGAAAAGATATGTTGATCTTGAAATAAACAATTTCTATGCTTTCTGTTGTATTTCGTTCAGAAATATAGGGCTTATATATGTCCACAACAAACATTGCTGGGATGTCACCAAGTCTTTGATTTCAGCAGTCAAGGATTCAAGAATACAAGGTGACCTGACACCAGCGACAGCACTTGGCCTGAAAGACTTTTAGAACAGTCTGATCCAGCTTCGTTTGCTTTTACTCAGAATTATCTTTTTACCTCTATCCTTATGTGGGATCTTGTTAACACCACCGGTGCTAGAATTTTCAGGAGCTGCAAGAGGTGTCACAAACTCACAGCGTTGCCCAGCTTGGGAATCGGAACCAAGTGCGAATCCTGACTCGACATTGTTGTCGGATTCTGCGATGGGGATTGTTTTCTCGTAGCGCTTTCTGAAGTACAGGATGCAGGTGGATCCGACATGCATGCGGCGCTCCGTTCTGCGGTTCTGGATGTGGTAGTAATAGCGAAGTCGCTTCTGCCCGCAAGGGCAGTGACCCCTTCTGCGACAAAGATCTTCTATGTAATCCAAAAACCACTGGTCTGAAAGAAACTGAATGTTCTCATGGTGTGCGCTCAGTTTCTTGAGTCGCTGGATGAGTTTCAGTCTCGGTTGTCCCTCCTTTTGTTTTCCCAATGAACGGTTAGTCTGGTTATATTCCTTCGAGGGCTGAGGCTGGTTGCTGTGTGCTCCTGGATGCCTTTGTTGGGTGTATCTGAACCTCACGTTCTCTTGCTCAAAGTCATCTTCGTCAGAACGATGCTTCAGTAACTGGGACAGGCTTATCTTAGCCTGCAAATTACAAGAAGAAATTCATGATCTTCAATTTTAACACATCAAAATGGAGCAATATAAGTGGCAGACCTGCTCACCTGTCTTACTCCTTTCTGAGGTCAGGCATTACCACACAATAGATGAAAAGGTATTTAAATGAGCCCTCAGTTCATTTAAAATTCTAATCTATTATGTGGTGATGCATTACCTCAGGAAGGAGTACGACAGGTTGGCAGGTGTGCAAAGTCGTGCAAAGTTCCCCCTTCTATATTCCACATCCTTGTATTTTGTTTGCTTTAATAACATTCGTGATAGTCCAAATCTGGCTTCGAAGGGGAAATATTTTTCACATTTATTTTTGAATGTGCCATTACATATACACAAATAAACGTGCAATTACAAAACAACTTTCTCCGAACTCTTGTACCAGTTCCCATGTATCCGTGTCAAGATAAAAATTGTAGCACTAGAGTATTCAGAAAAATTAGATTTAAAGTAGAGAATAAAACTGTGACTTCATAAGAAATGCACGTGACGACCTAATTTAAAAGACTAGCTTGTTTCTGAAGGTTTTTGGATTATACATCACTTCATAATTCGTGCACAAACTAGGCAGTTTATAAACCGAATTATATGTTTGCCAACCTTGTACGTCAGACGACGCCTTTTTTGACACCGATGACTATTTTTCTGCTGAAACCCCCTGTTAGAAATGTTGAGATCGCGTATCTTGGGTGTTCTGTTCCTCTCTGACGACTTACTGGATAGCGGTCTTCTACCAGAGCAGCTGGTTGCTTGGCTAGGTGGAGGAGGGGTGTTCGCCGGTTCAAAGTCGTCCTCGTCTGGTCGAAGCTCCAGCAGCTTTGCAAGAGCCATTACAACCTGACTTTTGGGGCAAGCCAAATGAATGGTTGATTTTTGTTTAAGAAAGTGGAGTTCTAGATAAGAGTGGGCATGGGAGGATGGTCTGCCTAAATACCCGCTCACTTCTCGGGGAAAAGATTTTGAGTGCAGAATTCATCATATTACTGTCGGGTGACTAGGGCGGGGTCCGGCCCCCTAGTTAAAAGAAGAAGGCTGGAGACGTGAAAAATACCACTCTCTGCTATTTCGGCCTAATATTCACAACTTGCCGAAGTTCCATTCCGGTACAAGGCACACAAAGAAAATGAAAACCCTGGAATAAAATAACCAAGTCCATAATTACATAATTATGGTCTCCTTTCTGTCAATAAATTGTAAGTTTAAAATTACACATCGATCCATACAAGCAATAAAACACTTTCAGCTTATCCCAGTATCCAGGTACAGTAAGTGTAAGTCAAAGATGTGTATCGCCGACACTAGGGACGCTGCAAAATAAGACACACGTTACAGTGATTCCATCAGCTTTACGGTACGTACACATCGAAAGCCTCAAAACATGAGTTGTCATTATTTGACTAGTAAGTACAGGGGGATTTTAAGTCATTTCTACTTATATAGGAGCACGTGGGCCTGTAAATAATAAAGGTACTTACGTCCAAAGACGTCAATAAAAAAGGAAAAACTTTTCTCTTCTTATAAACAGTAGTGGTCCTTTACAAGTTCCCATCAAGCGAGATAATGTTTTGTCACGTACGTTAGGCTATAGGCAGCAGCAAATTTGGCCAGCTAGCTTCGCGCGTCTAATGCTAGCATAATTCCAGCATTAGACGCACGAAGCTGGCCAAATATTCCTGCGCTATCAATGAGGCGTTCCGTACTTAGTGCCCTAATTTTGATACCTAAAACGTAACTCTTGTGATCCCTATTTAGTGCGAAAAGCTTAAAGATGAAACATGACCACATATTTAAGCCGCAAACACCAAGTTACGAGGTTTGTCTACACTGGTGCTATTTGGAGTCAGTGTACGAAGATCCCCGTGATCCGACCAGGTCACATGCAAATTAATAAGACGATTTCTCATGCAGGGGGATTCCCCTGGATGTGCAACAAGCTAGCAGCGCGGTGCTGCACAGAATATGTGGCTCTGAAATAAGAATGGCTACGGTGTTACAAAAAGTCCTGACCCCCCACATCACCATACATGTCACTAAATCCTGTATTAAATAGGATTGAAAAATACACATATCATCAGAATATCAAAGAGTACGTACGTCTCTAAGCTAATGCAGCCTGAGTCATTCGCATAGAAAAAAATGTTTCCAGCTTCAATGATCTGCACTGTCGACCTATTGAGAATCCATTTTAATGGGAATCATGTAGTGCTGTTGAAAGATAATACAGCACTTGACGTTTTTGATGTGATGTTTCTCAAGCCTACTGAGGATTAGGCTACACACTGTTTTTCTTAGGACAGCGTGGTTGGGTATCTGCCTTGAGTAAAAGTACACCCTCACCAGTTAAAAAGAGCCATGTTGGTCCGGGAGTGCTGATTTTGTTGGTAGTGAGGCGACCGGATTTTGTGAAACCAGCGCGGCTGCGATGCGCAGTCACTAGCAAAGGAGTCTCCGTTGCCAGGAAAACTGCACTCTCTCTTGGTCCAGCTCGGGGCATATAGGAGGTAGCAGATGTACGAGTATCTTATTCCTATCATTGTAAGGCTGAGTAGCTAACTGTACACACTTCTATTGATAAGCTGTCCTGAAAATGAGGTGGAGTACAGGTAATATATTCAATGGTCGCAGTTTATGATGCACCCAGAAAACTAGGTGGTTTAATTCCTTTTATAAGAGGTGACCGAGTATGTATCTGTACATCCGATGATTTGATACAGTTCTGAGCAGAATAAAATTTGTATGTAAATAACATTTACAAAAAGTGAAAAGGTGAAATGGGGATTTAGGAAGCATATCTGTTTTTTTTATACAGTGTGATGACGGTTATACGTCTAGTATTTACAGTAGGCCTGCATGTAGGAAAGTACTTATTATAAATCGAGAAATAAAAAATACATATTTAAACAACGTAAGTGTGGGATGGAGCAAAGCCAGAATAGGTATTGTTCCCAAACCCGTGGACAACTACACAAGTAACACAATTAACGGATATAGGGAAAAACAAGAACATGAACTTGGCCAGCAAACAAGACACAACATGATAAAAAATAGTCATACATACATGTACTTTGGTGAGTCTCGGCTACTGTACAGGTTAGATCATTCAGTAATCTACGGTGTGTGTATGCGCCAGATAGCATTGTGCTAGTTCATATCACCGGAGAGTGCTGGCATACTGATAACCTTTCACCATGCATTTAGCATAATATGGGGGCAGTAATGCAAAGAAAGATACACAACAGCACGACAGTGAGGCCATTGTAAACAGCACGACAGTGAGGCCATTAATTGTAAACAGCACGACAGTGAGGCCATTAATTGTAAACAGCACGACAGTGAGGCCACTGTAAACAGCACGACAGTGAGGCCATTGTAAACAGCACGACAGTGAGGTCATTGTGTGTCCTACCTTCAACTTTTGGTTATTGTGCTCCGCCATACAGAAAAAAAATTGCCACAGCCCATGCTTTGTGCTCATACTACACGTAGACTACATATAATTTAAAAGAAGATTTTTCTCCGAATGTAGTTTTCTATACTGTAGATGAAACGATGGTGAAGCAAATCTCCGTTAAAAAGCATTCAAAAGTTGAAAAATTAAGTCATTCACGCAGACTGTATCCAACATGAACATGGCAATTGGAAACAGAAAAGATAACACAAAATTACAGTTTTTGAAAGAAAACAAAAACTTGATCACAGTTATGTCTATTAAAGGGTAATTTCGGAGATCTCATCCTCAGCGCGTGTTAGGTCGTCGACTGAAGCTCCACCACTAAGGCGAGCCTTGAGAAATTGTACATAGAGGCAGTCAGTACACGTTGAATAATTCAGTGCTGGCGTGATAGGATTCCAGTTCACGGTAGAATGAAAACTCATAAATTTTCAGTATTCTCATATTTGTGGCCTTCTTTCTTTTTCTTTAGTAATACTAATATAGTCTCAAGACTGAAAATCTGACCCCCTTTGCTGCAAACCAATTCCCCCGATCCTCGAGTCGAAACAAAAACTGGAACATTTTGACCAATCAGAAGGAACAATTGGAACATCCACTTTTATACCATGCTTGTTTGTACAATTGGCGCTCCATCACCTCCTTCGCGTATACTTTCGCGGCCGCTGTACTCTGCTGACTGCAGCTGTAGGCCTACTGTGTGAGTGAATGTATGTGGATGTACGTGTCCGGGCAGTGTAGTGCAGTCAGTTGATCGTTTGGTGCGCGAAAATGGCGACCTACTGTACATGCTTTCTCGTCCGATAGGAAACGGGGACATTTTCGCCAAGACGTAGAGGGCTTTTCGAATGAAGGTTTGGAAATATTTTTATGAGATTGTGTGGCCGAAATCCTCAAATTCCAGTAAAATGTGGTCACCATCCACCTTGTGTGCTAGAGCAAATTAATTTCAAATTTTTAACTTTTAGTTCGGACGTACAGAATCGACGAAAGTAGCTACACCCTTCCTCGTTCTGGATCGGTTTCTGGAAAGTAACTACGCGAGCGACAAATCCATTTTCAGCCAGAACCATTGTAAAAAGCTGATTTCTAAATGAAAAATTTCTTAATTTAGGGAAAATCAGTTCATAAATAAGAATTCAAATGAATTTTATAAAGCGGAACTGGCATAAATTTCGACTCAACTTTTTCAGCTGCACAGCGTGAGCCCATCAACGATACTACGTCGTGCCACACAGTTGAAGAACCCATGATTACGTCACGTACATCTCTGCAACGTCTGTATAGTAAGATCAGTTCACAACGTATATTGCGTGCATGCACTCATGTGCGACCCAAAACTAGGAAACAATAGGTCTGTTCAGTTTTCGGCCAGTTTTAATAAAACGCAACTTTAAAGTCCTTTTGATTTAAACAGACAGACAAAGTTTATATGACTGTTGAGTATGAAAAAAGTACCTAGGATCACTTGTAGTGAGTGACACATCGCCCTGAAACTGTTTGCAATTTTTCTCCCGCTACCATGATTTTTGACAAACCGTTCAAAAATGTCAAAATGTGAATCAGAAATGTGGCTGGAATTTCTCTTCTAGACATTTTCTGAGAACAAGTTTTTGTTCAACAAGAAGCTTACATTTCACCTTTTAACCAGAACCTGGCTGAGAATGTAAAACTGAAGGATAACAAAAAGGAGGTAGGTTTTTTTTTTTCAAGTGAGCCGGAACTAGGTTTACGTGGCTGGGTCAGCGCGTGTGCAAGATCGATTGATTGCGCAAAGATTGACTTACTTACGGCCACCATTTTTTTTATAAAACCTGAGAAATTAGACTTGTCTATCTACTACGTGAAATTCCACCCCATTTTTAAGGCATAGTATTTCACACCGTGGCCTCAGCAGGTGACTGGGCTGAGCGGAGAGTGTGCCAACGGATAACTTGTCTCAAAGGACGACTTGCAATTGTTTCAACGGTCGACCTGTCTCTCCTTTTTACGCATGGACGGTCGAGTTGTCTCAACGATCGAGTTGTTTCAGCGGTACAGTGAGTGTCCGAAGTCGAGTTGGTAAACGGTACGGTCGAGTTGTCCGGACCCCCACTGAATTTCGTAAAAGAAACTTTTATGGTTCCAGGTCAAGAAACCAGACTGTATGCGCTGTATATCCGTCTTAGTTCACAGGTTTTCGTCGTATCATTCACGCTGCCGTTTATACCCCTCCATAATACGCTGCCACAATACCCCTCAAATCCAAAGTCCTTCCCTCTTTTCTTTCTGATATGAAAGAGAACATCCCTGCTAACTTATCTAGGTAAGTTGTTTTGAAAAAGTAGACTTATTATAGGAAAAAGGTGCTAATGGTTGCTGTAGCCCCACTTGTGGTGTGGCACGGACCCTCGCTCCCGCTCGATCCTTAGCCACACATCCGTATACACAATTTTCTGTCGGCGTGGTCAAATCTTCGGTGCACCCTCTTTTAATCGTATGCGCAAATTTGTTTGTCTACACAAATGTTCCTTAGTTTCTCCGATTTCTAATGACACACTATTTGAATGATTTCACTCACGTTCTGGTATTTTCCAGTCTTTTTGCCTTTACCCATTCAATCTCACGGTCTCACTCTCACACGCCATCTTTAAATTAAAATGTGTCTGTGAACTTTATGTCACTTGACCCTGGCCTGCAGACGGTTGTTCCATTGCTTCAACTCGACAAAAAAAGAAACAAAAACGCTTTAACTTACCTTCACATATCACTCAGTCCGCGTGGCTGCATTTGTTTATTAGATATGTCTTGACATGGAACAGCCGTCTACGGCCATTTCGCCTCTTGTGGTTTTTGTAAAGGCGCCAAGCGCATCCCCAAGCTATCTCGTCCAATCAGAGCGTTCGAGACGGTGTCAAACGGGAGAGAGCGCTATTTACATTCCCGTTGCTGGCATTTTGATCTGTGTGCCAAAGAGGAACGTCGTGGGACACAGAGGCTCGTTGGTAAAGAACCCGCATGCCACTTTGAGCCCAGCTGGCACTTCGGGGGCTAAAAGGGATATACAAAAAAATGAGATCAGGACATTAAATATGAACAGACTTGCTTCACCCGAGGTACGCTTTAACCCTAAAAGAGGCGAGGTGCGGTCATTGTTACGCCAATCTTGTGAAAATACCTTTGAGTGTACCAGGCAAGATATGGGACGGAGGGGTACCCCCCTACATGTCAAATCCCTATCACACTCTAGACTGTTACCTAACACAACCCCCTCGAAGTCTGAAAAGAATTCCTGAGATTCCGATCAAACAATGACCGACACGAAGGCGGGGGTTCTCTCTGTCCCATATCTTGCTTCAAATGCCTTTGAGGACTAGGTGGCTTCAAAGAATCTATTTCCCTCAAGACGGTTGCGGCTTTTAGGTCCGGAAGATGCTCTCCTTTCCCACGGCACTGAGTGGTCCCACGTTGATTGGTAAAAGGACCTATCGCCAATAAAGGTAAATCCGCAGAGCTGGGTTGGTCACTTTTGTCCGAGCAGTTTAGTCTGATGGTTGTAGTAGTTTCATGTCTTATCATTTTTATAAAGCCAATCTGTCTATTTTCCCACTTTTTCCAGTTGTTCTGAGTGTTTCTTTATCTGCCAATTTGTATTCAGTCTTTTGTTAAACACGATTTCTGGTCACTGCAAGATGCCGGAAGTCTTGGAAGCGAGTGGCGGCAACCGCGCGGCCTTCGGAGAGTAGGAGACCGCTCGGAAGGCCTCGCTTTGCTAGGCCTACGCAAAGCAGGGGTGATGCTGCTGAGGCAACCCCATGTTGGTTGTGCTGGAGAAAAGTATACCGGCAGCAGCCATACCATCACCTGCAATCCGTACTGGTGCTGTAGATAAATCTCTCCCACCCGGAGGCCCGCAAAGTGCTGCCGCTGCACCGACTGTGACTTCGAGGCTCGGTGAGTCAGATGTTCACTGCAATCTTTTTCCATTACCTGTTGTGAACCACTAATCTATTCCTCATTTAATGTCTACTAGTGATCTTACTCATAGTACTAGTTCACCTGCATTGGCTTTGACTTCCATCTGTATTTCGCTTCCCCTTCAATGGATAATGTACAAGACTACACTGCGGTGTGCACTAACCAGCGTTTGTGACGAGCTTGGGCTGGGCGTACCTAAAAACATTCAAGAAAAAAATTGGAATGGGGAATTTGTCCAATTTGGTTCTTTGCTATACGGCAACTCGTACTGGGTTTGGTAATGCTCACTCTCACGACTGTGTATTTATGATCGGTTCATCTGAATCACCCACCTTGCGAATTCGCCCCCCCCGCCACCAGCTTCGCATAACGTCCATTGAGCAATGGTCTTCGGCTTTCTTGGTGTTTGCATCCATTTACTTGATTCGTCATCATGACTGAGCTTGACAATTACTGAAATATGCCGATACTATCCGATCTGCGGCCTTCCGTCGCACGGGTTTCGGCTCGAGCGATTATGATATCCAGTTTCGTCTTCGCCAAGCACGAATGCCTGTGCGTTCTTGGGCCAGCATCGACGCTGAATTGTGGCTAACGCTAGTGGGTGGTCCCTCACAGAACTTTTTTCGTCCCTATCCCCATAAGTCCACCCAAAAGCGCGTCCCGGGACCGGGTCGTAGGCCTACATCCTCTCAGCAGGAACAGTAGTGAGGCACCGCTTTTGGAATCTGTTTCGACTTCAACTGCGGTCCATGTTTCCGGCTCGCATGTCGATTTGCCCACAAGTGTTCCGTGTACATGTCCCCTGGCCACTCGGCCAATAATTGCCGCGGTAGCTCCCTACGCCTTGGCATTGCCCAACTAGCATGGTCCCTTTTCTCACTGGCAACACATACCCAGGAAGGCAAGACGCACAAATCCTGATTGAAGGTATGACTTTTGGCTTTCGTTTGGACTATTCTGGTCCGCGAGTACACTCTCCGGCTCGCAATTTCAAGTCCGTCCGTGAACACAAGGCTTTATTTCATAATAAAATTGTCAGGGAGACTCAGTTTGGCCGCATTACTGAATACTGGTCCTTTTTTACTCTCCCTTGCCTGACTTTGGCGATTCCGTCAATGGTTAAATTGACCCGTCTGTTCCTGTTGTTAATTATTCGAGTTTTGATGACGCGGCAGGGTTGGTCTCAAGTTTAGGCACTGGTGCTCTTATGGCTAAATTTGACATTAAGTCGGCTTTTCGCTTGCTGCTAGTTCACCCGGATGATTTCAACCTGTTTGGCTTCTTCGATGGGTCATACTACTACGACAAAATTGTGTATACCCACGGACTGTTACATATCGTGTGTGACATTCGAATGGTTTAGCACATTCCTTCAGTACTTTACCCGCAAAGTGGCAATGACTGGCAATTCAGTCAGTACCTCGACGATTTCATTTTGTGGGAAGTGCAAATTCGAGGGACAGCGCTCCTGCTTTCAGTTATTTTACGGTCGTCTGTATTGAGTTTGGAGTTCTCTTAGCGTCAGACAAAACGGTTGGACCGACTACTAACATCACTTTACTAGGGTTGGCAATCGACACTATTGCTCAGACAATTCAAGTTCCACTTGCAAAAATCGTGTACGTATTAGAGAAGTTGGGTAATGCACTATTTAAACAAAAAAATTGCTCCCAGGGACCTTCAGTCTGTGCTTGGAAGTTTAAATTTCATCTGTAAAGCTGTTCGCCCAGGCCGTGTGTTTTTATCAGCGGCGTTCGGAAGCCACATCATCTTATCCGCATTTCTTCAGGAGCGCTCCGCCGACCTGTTGGCATGGCGACGGTTCTTGGTCAATTTCAATGGCTCGGTCATATTCCCAACCCAAATCTGGTAGTCCAGTCACACCTTACAATTGTACACCGATCTTCAGCCGATGTAGATGTTGGTGCATTCTTTCATGGTAATTGGACATACATGTATATACCAGGCACAAAATGGGACAGAGGGGTACCCCCAGTAAGTCCAATCCCTATACGCACCCCAGCCTATTTTCACCTGACACATCCCCCATATGTCTGACAAGAATTCCTGAGATACCAGTATAACAGTGACCAACACAAAGGCGAGGGGTCTCTCTATCCCATAGTTTACTTCATATGATAGGACGTACGGCAGATGGCCCTTGTCAATCCGTTCACTGCGCTTTTCTGTTGCTTTCCTTGAACTTCTCCCCATTGTACTGGCGCTGCACTTTTGGGGACCAGATCTGACTGAGATGTGTGGTTTTCTGGACGGATAATAAAGCAGCAGTGGCCATAATCAATGGTATAAGAAAACAACTGTAGCCTGCAGTGACGGGGTCCTCGGGTTTTGTACACCCCAGGGGCAAATGGAACAGGCTCGGCTTCTCCTTGAGTGCCATTTGCCCCCTCAGGTTTACAAAGCACCATGGACCCCTACATGGCAGGCAACACTTGTTAAATGTCCGATTAAGTTCAAACTTCATAGTTCTAATAGTAATGATAAAGGTTCGAGTCCCACCCGAGTACGCTTGTGGTTTTTTCACAAGCCTACGGAGGCGAACACTAGGTATACAGTATTATAATATACGTCGGGCAGGGCAAAAATCTAAAATTAATTGATTAATGATAAAGAGTGTTTTACATGCCTAGTTTCAAATCGAGTGTGGCACAGCTGAGTTCTTCAGGCCCGGAATCCGCCCCAACCCAGGGCCAAAACAGCCCGGCTCTTCGGAGGGGTAATTACTGCCAAGACACACGTTGGACTTCGTAAATCGTGAAATAATTATGCTGCAACGTAGGGCCTATACACTTCCCGTCACAGCTAAGCACTGTATTTTTCGGCTCGAAAATTGAGCAAGGGCATGTTGCAAAGTCCCCTCCTTTGTACGCACCAACTTGCCCAAGCCCAGTTCGTGCTCGTCCTTATTTCCCCATGTAGCGCTTGTCATGCTTGTTTGTACCTCCTAATCTTTCATACTACCTCATTTTGGTCCAGTGCTAATTGGAGGCGAGCTCAACTTTGGAAAGGACATGGAAAAACAATAGTGAGATTGTACTGAAAATAAAATCCTCATCATCCTCATAAGAGATATATTCGTTCGCATGGTGCTACCGCAAACCTTTTCACTTACTGCTGTCTTTCACCATGAATAGCCTGAAATTCCAATCTGACATAATTTACAAAACCTAGTCCGACCAATGTTTAGACATGTACTTATATTTAGACGACCCTCCCCAACGCCGAAATGATGCTCCTGATGCTATCCAAAATAAATTAGGGAATTTTTCAAACTTTTTTTTCATGGAACTCAAAACTCTCTTTTACTGTAAAGAACATTGTTTGAGGATATGCCCATCTTGTATCATTTCGTTGGTGTAGGCTATTTTAGGCCTGTTCACGGCCAGCTAGCTATAGTGTCGTCTACCAAATTTTGTGAAGGAAACGCAAATATATAAACAAGCCCTGATCTCTAGAACTTTGACGGAAGTACATGTACATATAGGCTATGAGCTATTATGTGAGCTCAGCACCTGCTTCGAACTTTGGTGGAGGCCGTGTGTGTTTACTATGGAGCTTTATATGTAACCTTGTTCGATTTTCCCGCCTTGTTATAACTGTAGAACGCTTTGGGCGAATCGTTAGCAAAGACGATCATCATGCGCATGCCAAGCCGTCGAAAAGCTAAAATCCCATTACGCGTGTCGCGCAGGAGAGCAATCTTGTTGGCCTTATCTTGATACAATTTTTCAGAAATAGAATCTTAAAGTCCTCGTTTAACCAAAGAACCTTCACTTGCATAAACTGTATATACCTACATGTACAGTGTGTATACATGTATATCTAAGTGTATCGGCTCAAAATTCTACTGTGAAAGAGCAGGTGCTCTGTGCTCACATACGGAATCGTGACAAAAAAAACCATTGGCCTTACTAATTTCCTCGAGTGGATTTACTTGTTTTGCTTGAGCGGATTACTATTTCGCCGTGGTGGATTACTATTTTGCCTTGGCAGATTAGGTGTTTCACAATTATCAAGATGTATTTTTGCGTTGGGGAGATGTTAATTATATATAACGGGTTTGCCCTTACCCAACGTATATTTATAAGCACTGTATGCTCAGTGCTTGTCCGAGAGCTTA